CACAACATCTCCCAGTATCACTATCAACAGCAGTTCCCCCAACTGCCACTGAACCAACCACTACTTCCACCTCGCCACCCTGCTCCGAGGCCGGCTAAGGCCTCCCCGCAGGATGGATGCCCCCACCAAGGCAAGGCCTCCAGGCCCCAGAACCCCCCTAATAGTCAGGCCTCGTCCCCAAGCCAAAGAGAGAAAAAAATCATCCCCGCCTCGCAGTTCGCAGGCGGGTCGGGCACCTCACCCGCGAGATCAACACCTCGACGGTCCAAGCCTGAGTTCCCACTCACAGAAAACCGATTCGGCGCACTGACAGCAGCAGACTACCAGCACTCCGGGCCCATCGAGCTCGGCAACACGGAGGCCAACAGCACAAGTACAAGGCCCACTCAACAGCGAAGGCGCCGGCGAAGTCGCCGAACCGCCACCCGTGTCCTATCAAAGCTCAGAGACAAAGAAGAGACGAGCTCGGACGAGGTAGGAGTTGCCCCGATTCTCTCAGTTCCCTCCCCCCTCACCTCAGAACTCCTGGCAGTCCCCTTGCCTAGAGATTTCAAGATCCCACCTCTGGACAAGTATGACGGGTCCTTCGACCCCAATGACCACGTTGATGCTTTCCAGTCCCAAATGCACCTCGCCAGAGCCAGCGAATCATGCATGTGCATGGCCTACACCACCACCCTCAGGGGGGTAGCCCGCACTTGGTACAGGAACCTGGCCCCTGGGTCGATAAAGTGTTGGGCTCAGTTCGTGCAGGTCTTCACCGCACATTTTGTCACCAGCAAACGGTGCCCCAGAGCAGAGCAAAGCATCTTTGGAGTAGTCCAAAGGGAAGGAGAATCCATACGGGGCTACATCAAACGATTCAACGAAGCATGCTTGCAGATACCGCGGTTAGACCCCGCGGTGCAACTCACGGCGGCAAAAAGAGGGGTAACGCACAAAGAATTCAAATGGCACATGGTAGCTAACTAGCCCGCAACCGTGGCCGAATTCCTCAAGCTCGCAGACAAATTCATGAGGACAGAGGAAGAAATCAACCAATGAACCGAGGGCGGGAACGAGAAAAGAAAGAGGGAAGGAGAGCCCTCTAACACAGTCGACCGGAAAAACCCAGCCCGAGAGCCGAAGCCGAACCAGTCGTTCCGAGCTCCCCTAGCAGTTCTGACGGATTACATGCCATTGAACACAAGGTGAACCGAAATCTTAATGAAGATCAAGGACGCCCCA